TAAATGAGACTGCTGCACACCTCTCAAGGAATGTATACATTGGCAGATTTGCAAGTCAGCCTTTTCTCAAACTGACTGTGGCACACTATCTTATAAATCAACATGTTGTAAAGGTGTTTCAAGGACAAGAGAGATCCAGTCGCGTGATGTCAGTTATATTCTGCCAATCCATCTCATCTGTGACGAAAGTGAGATAAATTACAACAACGGGTTAACGGTGTCATTTCAAAAATTCATACTGTCTGTAGGCGTTCCTGTTCACATGCAAATCAGAGGTTTCTAGAATTTGTGCTATATCAGTTTGTAATCTCTCTCTATATGACGTCTAAGGTGAACACAGAATATACGTCTCCATTTGATGTTTTTAGTGAAATGATCCAGTAGAAAATGCGAAACATCCTGATGCAGAAAAAACAGACAGGTGGTCTCGTGGTCTCGTGAAACATCCTCTGAATATTTGGCTACTGAGATTCATGTCATGGTTTAAGTTGCCTAACCTCACTTATATTATCACCAAAATGTCTGTAGGTTGAGAATGCATAAATTATCATGCATCTACGGGAAAACCCACCTATTAAATCAGCTTACTAACTACTAACAACATGTAAGTAGGTTGTGGAGTTTCATAAAAATCTATATTCCTTTCTCGATTTCATCGTCACCAATTACATTCCGACTAGGCAATTGACAGCAATAATCACAAAAGTGCATTTAATATGACCGTTATCATTTTCACTCATGTTAGGAGAGCAAACGAAACACGAGATTTTCCTAGACAAACCAGTTTATCCAAGCCTTTTACGACGGAAACGTTTCTAGATAATCGCATAATGTGAGATGCAACCCAGAAGCGGCAGACTTACTGGAAATTAGGAAGGTGAAGTGACGGAATATAAAATTACATCATGAGTGTGATAAAAATGATCATCAATCTAAATGGACGAAGCCTAGTGGAATTGGGGTAAACTGTTCATAAAAAAAGTGTATCTAAATCACAAGGTAATCGGTATAAACAAAGAGAATATTGACAATGCTAATAATAAACTCAATGAAATGAAACAAAATTAATTTGAAATAAGAACAAATTAGTTCAGCGAAGAGTCTCTTTTCGGCGAATTCATTCACTTAGCTGTACAGTCGCAAATATATATACAATTATTTTGTGTGTGTGTACATTAGGTTTGTCGAAATAAAATAACAGTTAGTTATATCATCAAAATAATGAAGAAGTTAAAATGTGTGTTTAATAATCAAAGTTGTAACTAAGTGGGGTGAAGATTGGTAAGATGTGAGTAGGGTTACGTAATATGGACATGTTTAGAAAGATTAGATGCTAGTGAAGGAGTTTGGAGACAATTATGAAAACAAACTAGATAATAGGTGAAAAGATTGAATGGGTTAGTTACTAAAAATTGTTATACGAAAATTGCAAAAAATTTGATAACAAAATGACAAATAAACTTGGAATTAAACCCACGTAGTAGGAGGGGGTGGAGAAGTTTCTTCTGTGTGCATAACTCAGGCTTTTCCATTAATTAATTTGAGAACATTACTGTGGCCACGGTAGTGCGAGTAAGTGTATGAAGTCCTTTTGAACTGGTGTGTGGACAGTCTGCCGTAGATGAATACAGAGAAGGTTGTAATGACAGACAAATTACTTAAGACTCATTTTTTTACAAACGCGACAGGAGTCATTTTATGCATTCACATTTGTTTTAGTAGCAATTGCATATCTCACTATCGCTCAGTTGCAGAATATTAGCATAGAAATATCCAACTGTGGAGTTTCCAAAAATGATTTTACCACTGTGCCTGGCATTCCCGAAACAAACTTTGGACTGTCATTCAGGTTAATCTTACTGACAGAGTATTAATTAAAGCTGCAGAAATATGTTGGTTGCCACTAAAATGACCATTCATTTAGGTGCGTGAAACTCTCAATATGGAAAGATAATGCTCTGCATTAATGTGATGAAACGGTCAGTAGCATGAATGTTGCCGCAACTACTGTGTATTCATTTCAATAAAGTTTTCATTTACATTCTAGAATATTTGAAGAGTATTTCTTAGAAATAACAATTCTCGAGAAACATCTAATTTCTGCTCTGTTTGACAAGATGTTTGAAATACCTTTGGGAATATTTTGTTGTGATGGAAGCCAAATTCGTTGTGATGATGAAAATCTACGTTATAGAAGGACATTTGGTACCTTTATCTGTTAATTTCGAAACGTCCTGCTTGAATGGATTGTGAAGTGCTCACTTTTACTATCAGTCACAAATGTCTTCAAATCTTATGTATAATCGCATATTTTAAAACCTTTCCAACATATCGCTTTGAGTCATCTTCAAAAATCGAAGGGAACACATCACATTGGTTGATTTTTTGCATTAAAACATATAGAAAAATAATGATATGACTGTCCTCGAAGTTGTTATCACTAATTTCAGGGCTCTGTCTAACATCTTAGACTATCTTCAGTCTTTATTATCCTAGAATGCGCATCGAAGTGCTTGTGTTCTAGCTATACAAAACTTGGCTCTATCAGAAATATGACGACAATCTAATCTCATTGAATGGATATAAAATTTTCCATCAGGACAGACACAGTTCAAAGAAAAATCATGGAGGAGAGGTAACCACTTTTATTAATACAAAGTAGTCTGCATCTGATCATGTATATTTTAAGTTTTCCAATGACAGTATGTACTGTATCACTGTTAGGTGTCGTCCAAAGCATTTACATAAATATGCCTATATATGCATAACACATTAATATAACTCCGGACTGTAGTTTCTCTGATATATATATATCTTCTCAGACGAATTTACTAAATTTTCTGCTCTCATTTTTGGAATTTCCTTGTCAGTGGTCTGTGAGGACTTGAATTCTTGAGATCACATCTTTCTTATATCACCTGGTCATGAGGACCTAGTCGAATTCAATATACGTCTGGACAAAACCCTAGACTTGGTTTTCTCAAACGATCGTGACATATTTGAGGTGCGGAGGAGGGCTCCATTGATGAATTCTGACTATAGCATCATTCGTATTTTACCAAAATTGTACGGCAGGTAACACAGAAAGGCCTTCCTTCACCTAACAAAGAAAATCCGAGAATGATCCTATTCACAAGACAATATTCAAGCAATAAGATGTACGCTGCATGATACTGACTGAGACCTATTCGTTGATGAAGTACCAGACGTCGCTGTCTCCAATATCAATTCCTACCTCAAGTTCCGTTTTCATATTAACTGTTTTACTGAAACAATGCTCACGAGATTCGATAGGATGTCTTCTCCACAACTAAAAATGCAACACGCTAATATGATTGGAAGTGATGTTTCTAGTCCCGTCAATGATCATTTCCCTGGCTTTAATAAACAGGATGTATTGACATGTCTCAAATCCGTAAATCCGTCACACGTTCTAGGTTTCGTTGGTGTAGCAAGTATTTTGCTTCAAAAATGTGACGATATCTTGTATTATCTTCTTATGGAAACCTTTGATGCATCATTTCACAGGGATGCAGTACCTGTCGCCTGGATAGAAACAAAGGCGGTGCCTTTAGTAAAGTCATCTGGATTAGGTCTAGAGTTCAGGCCTATGCCATTATGTCTCCACTTTTGAAAACTATGGAGAAACTTCTCTTGTATATTCTTGAACCTTCTTTGAAATCGTTTAATGACGCAAAGCAGTTTGCTTACAAATGCAGTAGAAGCACATTAAATGCTGCCGTTGTACTCCAACACATTTTGGTTTCAAGTCTTTATAGAGGCGCAGAGTTTTGTTCAAGCCTCCTTTTAAGACTACGTCGTTGCCTTTTACGGATCTATTTCTTTTTTTTATTCCTTTACGTTCCCAATGGGACATAGGGCTTCAAGCTAAGGCCAGCTTGAAGTTTTTTAGCAGTGTTTATTTTTACAGGACGGGATTACTAGCCTCATGCCCAACCTTTCTTCTTAACCAGCGTTTTATTACTGGCTTAGCGAGGCAAAGGACTAGTGCTTCGGCTGGTGATCCAACCCCGGACCATGTGCATAGTCGGCGAGCATCCTAACCGCCGTTACTGCTGCTGCTGTATTCAACATAGAACTTGGCACCGAAGTGCAGCAGTTCGAGTTGCCACATTCCAAATAGCACACAAAGGTAGACAGGGAAATGAGAGAAGAGAATCAATAGAATTTAGATGAGTATAAGAGTGAAACAGAATGAGTAATGGTAGAAAGGAATATGAAGGTTAAAGAGACTGAATACATCTGCGTAAGCCATTGACAACGATTTTGAGCCATGTCACCTATTGTCTCCAGCCATTGATTCTTAGAGTCCCGAGGGCCCCAACCCAGAAGTCTGCATCTCCCTACCTGATTCAGTTTAACTGTCAAGAATTTCATGGATTGATTGATGCCATGTTTTTGTTTGGCCACCACTTACTCTTTTCCAACCTGCACCTACCTATATCAGCTAGTAATGCCCGTCTGGGGGGGGGAGGCGATGGCTAGGCATGCGCAGCACGTGACCTAACCATCTCAATCTATGTAACTTTATAGCCTCTTCGAGTGATTTTCCCTCTTTGCCCAACACTCTACGCCTAACGTCGACATTACTTACCTTATTATACCAACTAACGCGAGAAAGAGATCGTAAACATCTGTGGTCAAAAGCAGACAATCTCTTCATGTCTTCTGCTCTCAATGGCCACGTCTCACCGCCATAGAGAAAACCGCCGTTACACCGACCCACCAATTTAGGCGACTCTATTTTTAGTTCACCCTTACTAAGCAAGCTGATTTCAGCAAACAGACATTATTTCTGCACGCTCTTATCATCATTATGACTATTATTTTAAGCGTATTTGTCGGTCAAATATCCACCCCTGTGGATGCGTACTGCTGATGATTCCCAAACTAGGATGAAACGGCTGTCCAGTACTCCCTGGTGTTGAATGGTTATCTAACTGATATCAATCCGTGATCAACTCGTAAGAGCAAAAGAAGGGCTATTCATAACCATGGTTCTTTTTATTATAATTAAACTTATGGTCTTTTGCATATTACATAAAATAATAATGGTCTATCATGATTTATATACTTCTTCAGAAATGTTGTATCACCAATGCGTATGCACATAATTGACATGAGTGTTAGTATTATTTCATTAAGAAGCAGATCTACTTGGTGGTGGTGGAAGGCCTAGAAAGAATCTTTTCTGATGTCTGTATGATGACGGCAAACCCAGGAGGAAACGTTTATCCACAGATTTTGATGGTAAACCCAATAGAAATCGTTTATCTTCTCTATAAAATTCATCAGTGTCTGGATTCCAATAATCACTATATGGTTCACGCCAATAGTCATTCATAGGGCGTCGATAGCGATTGAATGAATTCGTAGGTGAACTTAATCTCTTAGGTGTTGGAAGAGCCAACAGAAAGCGTTTACTCTCAGTGAACATATCTTCTGCTGATGAATCATCTGTACAACTTATGTCGCCGGTCAGTATCAAAATCCCGACTACTGTTCCCCAAACGAATCGATACCATGAGTAAACCATTTAACGTGGAGGATTTGCAGTCTTTGTCTAGAAAAATAATAAAACAAATAGACAAAATATAATTAAGTTATGAGGCGTATATTTAAATGTATTTAACTTTTAATAATAGTAGTAGTGATTTGCTGTAATTGAAAACAATACATACTGATATATCATGGAATTCTCATAAGACGTGCTCACTCAAGCTACTGATGTGTGCGATTTATAGTTCGACAGTAGATAAAATAGAAATGGTCATTATATGTTGACCTTGTTCTCTTGTTAAGCATGCTGAAGTACAAAGAACAAGGGTACAATGTATTATTTTGGAAGTCTAGCGGGTATTTATCAGCATTACATAATGTACAGTATGAAGGTGGGAAATAAGCGGCACTCATACTGTCCGCTGTTAAATTATAATAATTCACTATGTGAGCTTTCAAATAAGCAAAGCTTCCATAGAAGAATATAATGTCATGGAGATTGTGTTAACTGTGACAAGATGGTGGATTACAAATGCCTTAAAATGATTCATTATTATCCTTGTCACCATGTCAGTTAAAATCTTCTCCGAGGTTAAAGAGCTAAAGGCCAATGGACCCTATTGATCCAATAAGACAAAATAATATGATGTACAAAACACCGTTCAATGACTGTAAGATCAACTAATAAAGTCAAACCAGTAGATCGCGGGTAGTCAGATTATTGGAACATAAGAATTTAGCTGAGTTTTAAATGATTAATCTGACAAAGGTGAGTAGCTGAGAGAAAAACTCAGAGGTTGCAGTGCATGCGCTTACTCAAATTCACACAATAGTATGAGACAGAGCTGCAGTTCTGAAAAGTAATATAGGTAGGTGAGGTAAGAAGTTGATCACTGAGTGGCTATACCCAACAGATGCAATAGCAATCACTCATACCACTACCAAATATATGGAAAACATTGCCACCAATAAAATCAAAGTAAAGGCAATAATGAAATTATATGAACAAAGTTTGAGAGTTATGTAAGTGCCTTGATATGATTATGAGAAACAGTAGATTTTTCTTGAAACGTCATCAATAATTAATACGCTGGCACTGGGTGATTTTATCAAATAAATTTACTTTTTGGCAGGATTCCACTTAATGCTCACATGGAACTACTTATGACATGTCACATGAGTGAACATTTCACATTTATCCTCCATTTTGAATGAATACTCTTTAGATGCTTGTACTCCCATAACATTTTACAAAGGTGTGTCATATACTATTTGGTTGATACAGTCACATCATTTCTAAGAACAAAACACACAAGGTTGTTGATAAAGTCTTACAGTATTATTTGAATAGGATTCAAAGCCATCTGATTAAAACAACCGAAGGTCTTCCAATTTTAAAATTAAACAGCCCAAAATTGAAGAAACAACTTGTGCTATACCTTTGTCTCTACTGCATTCATGGTATACTTAATGCCGTTATTCTCCACTGGGTTTCTACGTTTCACCTATATTTTTCATATATTTCACAGTATTTGTACTTAGTTAGTGGCACAGTGGTCAAACGTCCACCAACCACGCGGTTTTCGATCCCAGGCTGTGGCACTCCTTTACCTTTCTAAGTCATTAATAAGACTAGTAAAAAAGGACATTTGAGAATGAGAGTGGAAACCCTATCTCGGTAAACGTCAACACCAATGCTACCAAGCGCTGTGTTCCACTGAGAACGTAGAGGAATAAAAAAGAAAACAGTATTTGTAATATTTATTCAGACTTACTATCTAGTTACTTCATCCCTGTAATTACCGTTGTTTGTTTTATGACTTTACTATCTAATTTGTTGATATGAAATATCTGTGCCGTCGTTCCTAAATTTGAATCATCAATTTAAACTTTTGCCATCACTGGAATTAGTGTCATGTTTCTCTATTGGCGCCATCATTTTGAACAAAACTCACCAGTGGTTTTTACAAATTACGGTCACTGGTTAAAGGTGTTACTCTACTTGTGTTTGCGTAAAACTTGAGAAATTGACATAAGATAAGCTCATAAACTCAGAGTCATCTGCTCCAATATTCTGTTGATGTTTTTAAAAATGCTGTATTTATATATTTGTTAGCAGATCACATCAGTATGCCGTCGGCTTACATTGCATGAGATACTCCATAACGACCTTCGTTTATGTACATTCTTGCTGCAAAACATTATTGTATATCAACCAATTTTCATATAAACATTATTTCAATGCTCGAATGTTTATGAAACGTATGAAAGTGTATGACAGAATTACAGTGGCTACAAAATATCAAATTTTTCAGTCAACATGGTCCCTGCTACTTCACATAATAAACATAGACAAATTAAGTGTAGGTCTTCGACTGGACACTAACAACTAACTTAATGAATTAAGTCCTTCCTCTGGTACAGACTGAATTCCATCATGCAGGTTTGCAATGTGGCCACTATTCTAGGTATAACTTCATCATGCGTCTCATTGATTTGATGATATTAGGTGGTTGGAGGCAATCGGCAGGAAGACTTAGACCTAAGTTTCGTGCTAGCCGGCATTCATAAGCAAGGCATATCTACAACATTTAAGGAAGTCATGTCCCTCATAAGATTCAGACCGGCGTTACCCAGTGCTGCCAGCAGTCAGAGACGTTACCACTGAAATATTTGGAGTCTAGATCGACCTCCTGTAGGACTGAATGTATAGGATACCTTGATTGGATACTAGTCGGTAACTAGTGGGATGTGTCCAGTCCCTTCTTTAGTGCAGACTGAATCCTATCAGTCAGGTGTAACTTTACATAAGTATTAGTGAAAATGAGCCCTCCACAATCCATTCAAGCAGGACGTTTCTAAATTAACAGATAAAGGTACCAAATGTCCTTCTATAAAGTATATTATCATCATCACAATGAATTTGGTTTCCATCACAACAAAATATTCCCAAACGTATTTCAAACATCTTGTCAAACAGAGCAGAAATTAGATGTTTCTCTAGAATTGTTATTTCTAAGAAATACTCTTCAAGTATTCTAGAATGTAGATGAAAACCTCATCGAAATGAATACACAGTATATGCGGCAGCATTCATGCTACTGACAGTTTCATCACATTAATGCAGAGAATTATCTTTCCATATTGAGAATTTCACGCGCCTAAATAAATGATCTTTCTAGTGGCAACCGACATATTTTTGCAGCATTACATATTACTTGATCAGTAAGGTAGATGTAGGAAATGTTTCTGCTTAGAGATGAGCGTCCACCCTTTTATAAATGATACTACGCACTTTTCGATTACTACCTTACATTAACATAGTTACATAAAACTCTTATTTTTGTGAAATATCCTGCCAAAAAGTTACAAAAAGCTATTGCAATTATTTGCCTTTCAAACACTGAATGTTTGGATATAATATTGTTGTTGTTGAATACTACCTATAACTTTCTATTTGCCACTCTGTGCTTGTTGAACACTAACTAATATCTATAATTGTATATATTGATGGATTTACATGTTCAACTTGGCTCAAGTCAGTGAGTCTATGATTTTGGTATCATTTTGGCTAGCTGTACTTGACTGTGATATTATCATTGTTGTTGTCGCTTGTGACCCTTCTTGTTGTGAATTATTTTGCTGTGCTTGTGTTGTTCTGATTGCTTGATTCCTTGTTTCCTGGTTTTAAGGGGAGCATCCCACAAGGTCGCTTCTCTCTAAACTATATTTTAATAGACAATCCCCTTCTCAGGCGTGAGGCAAGCAACACCACCCTGTAAACGACGTTGCTACAGAAACTTCAATAAGATGAATCTCCTTGTGCAAAAAGAAAAAGTCTGTGTGGGGACATGTAATGTTCACACCATGTACGAGATTGGCAAATCTGCCCAGATCGCAAACCAAATGAAAAGATAGAACATTCGAGTACTGGGGAAATGTGAAAGCAGATGAAACGGGAGTGGACTCACCAAATTGTCAACAGGTGAGTCAGTGATCTACTCCGGTCACCCAGAAGATAACCACTCGCACACCGAGGGCTTGGCTATCATGATGTCACCAATGGCAACGAAGGCCCTGATGCAATGGGAGGCGATCTCTCCCAGAATAATGACCACCAGATTCAACTCCAAAGGAAGGAAAGTGTCAGTTATACAATGCTACGCACCCACAAACAACACAGACCTCGAAAATAAAGAAGAATTCTACAGACAACTACAGGAAACAATGGACAATACTCCAATTGGTGACATTAAAATACTAATGGGAGACATGAACGCCAAACTGGGATCAGACAACACAGGAAAGGAACTCATCATGGGTGGAGAGGCTCTCGGAGAGATGAACGAAAATGGAGAACTTTCCACGGACTTCTACGCCTTCACTGAACTAGTGATTGGTGGCAGCGTATACAAGGCTACATGGGTGTCGCCAGATGGGCGAACTGAAAACCAAATTGACTTCATCTCAATCTCAACGAAGTGGAGGCATAGCCTACTGGGCTCAAAAGTAAGAAGAGGAGCAGACGTTGGCTCAGACCACTATCTCGTACAAGGCACAATCCAAATCAAATTGAAAGCTTTCAGAGAAACAGGAGCTGCAGATAGACCACAAGCCAAGTTCAACACTCAAAGACTGAAGGAACAGGACACAGACACACACACACATCTTCACTGCAAGCATAAAGGACAAAGCCGAGACACAAATCAACACTAGCGAAGAGGTCAGTGTCGAAAAGCACTGGAACAACTTGAAAACAGTGTGGAGTCAAACCTGCATGGAAGTTCTAGGCAGGAAGAAGAGACAGGACAAACAGTGGCTCACTACAGACAATTGGAGACTGATAGAAGAGAGAGGGATGGTGAAACAAAAGATTCTCCAGTGCACCGATGAGCAACAAAAACAGGATTTGAACGCAAGCTACAAGACACTGAACAAAAGAGTAAAGAAGAGTGCAAGAGAAGACAAAAGAAAGCATTATGAAGCCATGAAAAGTGAAGCAGAAGTAACTGCAGGCAAAGGAGACGTCGCAACACT